TGTTTTTTTTTTTTTTTAGGTATTTTGAACTTTACATTCCTTTAATGAGCTAAAATTTGAGGATGCTTAAAATACAAAATTGTAATGTGAGTTTGCATCTTACGTGAAGTTGGAGGTCTTGGGTTGTAAATTTGGACTACCAGGTTCATTCAGAAGAGTGTTCAGCTGCAGGAGAAAAATCAAACTATTCATCAGTTTCTCCTGATGACTGACATTGAACCTAAGCCATATTACACTGTTCATTTCTTAAGTTTACCGCATTATTAATGATATCCTGAACTTGCTGGTTGGTGTTGCCTCTAGACGCAGGGTCCTCTGGCATACTGATGTTAATCACGTTAAATGTAAAGACCACAGCATAGGAGGTTTCTGAGATTTCTGTTTGGAAGAAAACAGTAGTTTTAACATTTTCCAAAAGCCTGTAATACATCACTGTTTACCTAGATCTCATTTCAAAACTTTCCTAGTGAAAATGATGACACTTACTCTTATAGGTGACATTCACCACCTTCACCGATTCATTGAGCTGTGACTCTCTGGAATTACGGAGAGTTTTGATTGCACTGAGGACCAGAGATTCACTGGGGATTGGAGATGAGGAGTTGAACACCAGCTTGCTTGTGACCACTCCTGAACCAGATCTGTAAATATAACCACTTTTGTTTAATGTACATCCAATTTTTGCAATAAAATTCCTTCTCCAATTTTGATTGTTCTCAAAATTGAAATCCAACACTTACTTGAGGATTGAAGGAGTCACAGAGAAACCAAATGTTGTTTCTGGAAAGACTGTTGTAGTGGTTGGTAGACGTAGCTCATTGAGGAAGCTGACTGGTTGTATGACATCTCCGTCCTGGAAGCTGTATTCCATCCTGCCATTAATCTGCTTTGAAGCGCTCCTGCAGAACAAACAAAAGATATTGTTGAAGGGCTTCAGTCCATATTGAAACATAATTCATGAAAAATACACAGCTAATAATAATAATAATAATAATAATATTCTGGAAAGACTGTTGTCGTGGTTGGTAGACGTAGCTCATTGAGGAAGCTGACTGGTTGTATGACATCTCCGTCCTGGAAGCTGTATTCCATCCTGCCATCAATCTGCTTTGAAGTGCTCCTGCAGAACAAACAAAAGATATTTTTAAAGGACTTCAGTCTATATTAAAACATAATTCATGAAAATTACACAGCTAAAAATAATAATAATAATAATAATAAATGTTTTGGATTAATTTGATAAGCTAAAATGTTTGGAGACAGAGTGAAGATTGCAATGTCAATTTGCATCTTACGTGAAGTTGGAGGTTTTGGGTTTTAAAGTTGGACTGCCAGGTTCATTCAGAAGACTGTTCAGCTGCAGGAGAAAAATCAAACTATTGTTTCCAAGTGAAGATGATGACACTTACTCTCATAGGTGACATCCACCAACTTCACCGATTCATTGAACTGTGACTCTCTGGAATTACAGGTTGTATGACATCTCCATCCTGGAAGCTGTATTCCGTCCTGCCATCAATCTGCTTTGAAGCGCTCCTGCAGAACAAACAAAAGATATTGTTAAAGGACTTCAGTACATATTGAAACATAATTCATGAAAATTACACAGCTAATAATAATAATAATAATAATAATAATAATAATAATAAATTATTTGGATTAATTTTATTAGTTAAAATGTTTTTGGGCACACAGTGAAGAATTTGCAATGTCAATTTGCATCTTACGTGAAGTTGGAGGTCTTGGGTTTTAAAGTTGGACTGCCAGGTTCATTCAGAAGAGTGTTCAGCTGCAGGAGGAAAATCAAACCATTCATCAGTTTCTCCTGAAGACTTACATTGAAACTAAGCCTTTTTACTCCTGAACCAGATCTGTAAATATAACCACTTTTGTTTAATGTACATCCAATTTTTGCAATAAAATTCCTTCTCCAATTTTGATTGTTCTCAAAATAGAAATCCAACACTTACATGAGGTTTGAAGGAGTTACAGAGAAACCAAATGTTGTTTCTGGAAACACTGTTGGAGTGGTTGGTAGACGTAGCTCATTGAGGAAGCTGACTGGTTGTATGACATCTCCGTCCTGGAAGCTGTATTCCATCCTGCCATCAATCTGCTTTGAAGGGCTCCTGCAGAACAAACAAAAGATATTTTTAAAGGACTTCAGTCTATAAAACATAATTCATGAAAATTACACAGCTAAAAATAATAATAATAATAACAAATGTTTTGGATAAATTTGATAAGCTAAAATGTTTGGAGACAGAGTGAAGATTGCAATGTCAATTTGCATCTTACGTGAAGTTGGAGCTTTTGGGTTTTAAAGTTGAACTGCCAGGTTCATTCAGAAGACTGTTCAGCTGCAGGAGAAAAATCAAACTATTCGTCAGTTTCTCCTGATGACTGACATTGAACCTAAGCCATATTACACTGTTCATTTCTTAAGTTTACCGCATTATTAATGATATCCTGCACTTGCTGGTTGGTGTTGCCTCTAGACTCAGGGTCCTCTGGCATACTGATGTTTATCACATTAAATGTAAAGACCACAGCATAGGAGGTTTCTGAGAGTTCTGTTTGGATGGAAATGGTAATTGAAAGATTTTTCAAAAGCCTGAAATACATAATGCTTGACTCAATCTTATTTCAAATCTTTCCAAGTGAAAATGATGACACTTACTCTCATAGGTGACATTCACCACCTTCACCGATTCATTGAGCTGTGACTCTCTGGAATTACGGAGAGTTTTGATTGCACTGAGGACCAGAGATTCACTGGGGATTGGAGATGAGGAGTTGAACACCAGCTTGCTTGTGACCACTCCTGAACCAGATCTGTAAATATAACCACTTTTGTTTAATGTACATCCAATTTTTGCAATAAAATCATGATTTCTCCATATTTACTTTTTCTCAAAATAGAAAACCAAAGTTTACATGAGAGTTGGAGCAGTAATAGAGACACTGGTTGTTGTTTCTGGAAAGACTGTTGTAGTGGTTGGTAGACGTAGCTCATTGAGGAAGCTAACTGGTTGTATGACATCTCCATCCTGGAAGCTGTATTCCATCCTGCCATCAATCTGCTTTGAAGTGCTCCTGCAGAACAAACAAAAGATATTGTTAAAGGACTTCAGTCCATATTGAAAAATAAATCATGAAAATTACATAGCTAATAATAATAATAATAATAAATGATTTTGAGTAATTTGATTAGGTCAAATATTTGGACACAAAGTGAAGATTGCAATGTCAATTTGCATCTTACGTGAAGTTGGAGGTCTTGGGTTGTAAAGTTGGACTGCCAGGTTCATTCAGAAGAGTGTTCAGCTGCAGGAGAAAAATCAAACATTCATCAGTTTCTCCTGAAGACTGACATTGAACCTAAGCCTTTTTACACTGTTCATTTTTGTAGTTTACCGCATTATTGATGGTATCTTGCACTTGCTGGTAGGTGTCACCTCTGAGATCAGGGTCCTCTGGCATGCTGATATTAACCAGGTTAAATGTAAAGACCACAACATAGGAGGTTTCCGAGATTCCTGTTTAGAGAGAAATGTTACTTTATAGATTCACCAAAAGCCTGCAATATATCTCTGTTTGAGTCATTCTTATTTAAAAAATGTTTAAGTGAAAATGTAACCCTTACTTTTATAGATTACATTCACCACCTTCACTGATTCATTAATTTGTGACTCTCTGGATTTCAGGAGAGTGTTGATAGCACTGAGGACCAGAGATTCACTGGGGACTGGAGACGATGAGTTGAATAGCAGTTTGCTTGCCACCACTGCTGTTGTTTGAGTTGATGCAATTGTAGCAGCTGAGGTTATAGGCATACTTGTGGTAGCTCCAGACATAGAGAGTGGACTCACACTTGTAGTTGGGGGAGCACCAGCTGCTGACATTGACAATGGCATAGTGGTTTCTTGAGTTACAATTATAATTGTTGGTGCAGTCGTTTCAGTGGTTGCTAAAGACACAGTTTTTGTGCTTTGAGATACAAATGCAGTTGGAGCTGGGTTTTGTGTTTCTGAAAGTCGAGTTGGAGTCACTGCATTTGTAGCTGCATTTAGCAAAGATGTGGTTGTTAAAAATGATTTCGTAAATTCTGAGAACATTGGCATGGTTGTGGGTGTGACAAATGTTGTTGCTGCAGCAGTTCTGGTTGTTGTGAAAAGTGGTATTGTGGTTGGAGATATTGATGTTGTGCTTGGTGATAACAGTGAAGAAGATGAAGATATTGAAGGAAGTGTTGTGGTACGAACAGCATTTTCTGTTGCTGGAGGTGCAATTGTAGGTCCTGAGAAAACACTCAAGGTTGTGGGTGTTACAGCTGTGGTTGTATAACCTTTAGTGATTGAAGTTGGTGTTGGAGCAGAACTTGTTGTTGTTAGAGGTGCACTTGTATTTCCTGAGGAGAAAGGCATTGATGTGGGGTTCACAGCTGTTATTGTAGAAGCGTCAGTTGTTGAAGTTACTGCTATTGTTGGTAATGCAGCATTTGTTGGGGGTTCTGGAAATACAGGCATGGTTGTCGAATTCACAGTTGTGGTTGTAGAAACTTCATTTGTTGAAGACTGTGCTGTTGTTCCTGGAGTAGCATTTTCTGTTGCTGGAGGTGCAGTTGTAGGTGCTGGGAACACAGGCATGGTTGTGGGGTTCACTCTTTTGGTTGTTAAAGTTTCATTTGTTTTTGACAATTGTGTTGTTGGAGCAGCTTTTGCTGTTGTTGTAGTTTCTGATGATATCTGAGTGGTTGTGGGGCTCACAGCTGTGGTTGTATTATCTTCAGTGGTTGAAGATGATGATGGAGCAGCATTTGATGTTGTTGAAGGAGCAGTTGCTGAGGATATAAGAGTGGTTGTGGGGTTCACAGATTGGGTAGTAGAAGCCTCAGTTGTCGAAGATTGTGTTGTTGCAGTTGGAGCAGCATTTGTTGCTGTTGAGAGTGCAGTTGTAGTCAGAGAGGATATAAGAGTGGCTGTGGGGCTCACAGCTGTAGTTGTATAACCTTCAGTGGTTGAAAATGGTGTTGGAGCAGCATTTGTAGTTGTTGTAGGTGCAGTTGCTGAGGATATAAGAGTGGTTGTGGGGTTCACAGCTGTGCTAGTAGAAGCTTCAGTTGTCAAAGACAGTGGAGTTGTTGGAGCAACATTTTCTGTTGCTGGAGGTGCAGAGAATACAGGCATGGTTGTGGGATTCACAGCTGCGGTTGCTGAAGCTTCAGTTGTTGAAGATTGTGCTGTTGCAGTTGGAGCAGCATTTGTTGCTGTAGAAGGTGCAGTTGTAGTTGGTGAGGATATGAGTGTGGTTGTGGAGGTCACAGCTATGGTTGTATAAGTTTCATTTTCTATTGTTGAAGATGGTGTCTCTGTTGGAGCAGCATTTTCTGTTACTGTAGGTACTGAGAATACAGACGTGGTTGTGGGGTTCACTGCTGTGGTGGATAAAGCTTCATTTGTTGTTGACAATGGTGTTGTTGGAGCAGCTTTTGCTGTTGTTGTAGATTCTGAAGATATATGAGTGGTTGTAGAGCTCACAGCTGTTGTTGTATAACCTTCAGTAGTCCAAGATTGTGCTGTTGCAGCATTTATTGTTGTTGTAGGTGCAGTTGCTGAGGATATAAAAGTGGTTTGGGGGTTCACATCTGTGGTAGTAGAAGCTTCAGTTTTCAAAGACAGTGGAGTTGTTGTTGGAGCAACATTTTCTGTTGCTGGAGGTGCAGAGAATACAGGCATGGTTGTGGGGTTCACAGCTGCAGTTGTTGAAGATTGTGCTGTTGCAGTTGGAGCAGCATTTGCTGTTGTTGAAGGTGCAGTTATACTTGGCGAGGATATGAGTGTGGTTGTAGGGGTTTCAGCTGTAGTTGTAGAATATTCATACATTGTTGTTGAAGAGGGTGTTGTTGTTGGTGCAGCAGTATCTGTAGTTGCTGAGAGCACAGGCATGATTTTGGGGGTCACATCTATGGTTGTGGAAGCTTCAGTTTCTGTTGTCATCAAAGATGACACTGCTGTTTGACCTGTAGCTGTTGTTGAAGGTGCATTTTCTGTAGAAGCCTCAGTTGTTCTCGAAGATGCCATTGATGCTGAATCAGTAGTTGTAGGAGATGTAGTTGTGAAAGTCACAGCTGTACATGTATTTTGTTTGGTGGTCATAGATGTGGAAATAGATGCTTTAGTTTTTATTACACAAACTTCATTGGCTGTTGAAACTGGTGTTGTTGGTGAAGTTGTAGTTATGGAGGATGTACCTCCACAAACAATGCACCATACATATACTGTCAAGAAAAAAGAAAGAAACATGTTTCATTATTACCTTTTGACCATTTAAAATTCAGTTTAGACTATTATTAAGTTCCATGAACAATTTTAACAGCTTTTGAATACATCTGTCACATTTTTTTAAACAATTTTTCAGCACATAATATCCAGATTAGGTGTAGAATATACGTACATATGGTGAGGAAAACTGTCCATCTGGCATCATACTTTGAAATGAAACACCACCTAAAATAGAAGATCAATCATTTATATTATGTTTTTAATAAATTACAGAACATTCACGTGTTCATGATACTGAAAGCAACTTCTTAATCATTGTGTTATTATTAAATAAAGACTGTAACTATATTTAAAGAGTATAATTATATGAAGAAGCACTCTTAGTCAAGTTCTCCATCAGCCCAGTTTATATTCAATGTTAGGGACCAGTTGGACTTTGCATTCAAGGTATATACATTTTATCAGTTTTTGCATTACCTGGGAATCAAACTCAAGACCTTGGTGTTGCTAACGCCATGTTCTGTTGTTTGTGCTACAGGAAAGCACGTAGGCCTAGATTTCAAGCAAACACTGAAAACTTTAAAGGAGACCTATTATGCCTCTTTTTTACAATATGTAATATAAGTCTCAAAGGGTCCCCAGAATGAAGTTTCAGCTCAAAATATCCCACAGATTATTTATTATATAATTTTGAAAATGCCTATTTTGAGTGGAAGCAGAAACACGCTGTTTTCGTGCCTGTATCTTTAAATGCAAATGAGCTGCTGTTTCCCGCCCCCTTTTCCAGAATAGGGCTGTGCTATTACAGCTCGTACCCCAGATACTGTGCCAAAAAAAAAATGTTTGGTTTTGATTATCATGTCAATCGAGCTGAAATCATGCGTTTTAAAGCCATATTAGTTTAAACTTTTGATAGTGTTTTCTGAGCACACACATCCGAAGCACGTGCACAGAAAACGGCTGTCACACGGCATGTGAGTACTAAACTAAATTCCCTTTAATGTCTTATTGTGCTTAAACTCTCAAATACACATAAGTTTATGTTAAAACCATATATGAGTTACAAAAACAGTCGGTTATTATGCCTGTGAAGGTAAACAGCTGGGAAAGAAATCACATGTTTATAGATCTGTGTGGCAGCAGTGAAATACAGTAAATAAATAAATCAACCTTCTCTTGTCTCCTCTGAGACTGGGACTCTAAATAGTGTTCTGTGCTCTTCTGTGCAGCCAAAGACAGAACAGTTAGCATGCTTTGGTCGAACTTTCGCCATATGGCTTTCGGGCACACCGTTGTCTCTTGCGAAAACACAATGGCGGCACCATGGGTGGAAACGTGCAGAGGGGCGGTGATATTATAATAAGATACCCTTTCTACGTCACAAGGGGAAGCGAAATCTGAAGCGCTCATTTTTTCACATGCTTACAGAGAAAGGCTTACCAACAAAAATTACTGGGTTGTTCTTTTTCACGTTTTCTGGGTTGGTAAATGCACCGGGTTGGTATAGCACTTAAACACGGAAAAAGTCAGATTTTCATGATATGTCACTTTTAAACAAGTATGGATTACAGACAATAAGAGGCATTGTGGTGCCATCCCAACCCGCATCAAACTGATTCTTGGTGGATATAGTATTTATAGTATAGTATAGTATTATAGATAATGTATTTTGCAGAAGTTCTGTATAATAAAGTAAATATTCATTATTCAGAGGAGCTAACTCTTAATTAATTACACCTCGCTCGCCTTGTATTCTTTAGGGTTAGATGAAAGATGTTCCCGATTAAGTAAAATACTGATCCAGATGATGTTGAATTGTTTCATAACTCTCTTTTGGCATGAATTTGCAATTTTGTCATCTCATGTGTTCTACTCAATGCTCATGAAACTTTTGATGTGTATTCATGGTTTTGCTATGATGACTACCACATGCTAATGCCTGTGAAGTTCACAACACCATAGGGCAGTGGTTCCCAATCCTGGTTCTGGAGAACCCCCAGCACTGCATGTTTTTGACGTCTCTCTTATCTGACGCACACATTTGAGGTCTTGGAGTTTTTACTAATGAGCTCAATCAGGTGTGTTTGATCTGTCTGTCTGTCTGTCTGTCTGTCTATCATTAAAACTTTTAATTTAGTTTAATTCTACTTCCTTACATGGTACCTCAGTTGACATTAAATTCAACTTGAAGAATTGAATTGTAATTTAAAATACATTCCCAATTCAGTTCTTAATAGTGCTTTAATGTAAAGTTGAAAAAAAAACAAAATCTTGAACAAATAAAAAAATCTTGATACAAGTTGACAACAAATCACACAAGCTGACACTCGGGCTATTTTAAACATATAAAATTTTTACATAGTATAAATGTTGTTGTATTGAATATTATATGTATCATACAGTATTAAAAGCTATATGATAATTTAATATGTAATCATTCACCTACCTCCTTCTGCTGTTTAAAGTCATAACCATGTACACCAAATGGTATTGCAATGCTCTGTGTGATTTGTCTTCTTAGTTCAAAAGTGACAGACTGAAAAGAACAATTTTGGGCGATACTATATCAAAGATTTGTTGACGTCTAGGGTGTGGTAAAACGTGTAGTTCAGCAACCGAACCCTGTAGTACGCAGTACCCTCCACAATGAAGAGTACAAATACAGTGCTGATTACTGCTTACATGAATGTCAAGAATTCATTTTTGTCAGGATGATAAAAGGTGTTTTGGGGATAAAAAATTTGCCTATTTTGATGTAAAATAAAATAAAAAGAAGAAATAAAAGGTAAACTAAAATTAGCCTTATAAAAGGCTTTATGAAATAGATAGAATAAATCTGATTTTATTTACTACATACATTACATAATCAAATGTCCTATCTAATTTTTTTTGTAGAAATTAGCCAATAAACATTGAATAAAAAAAAAGTTTGTTTTTAAAAGTTAATAAATTATTTTTAACGACTCTACATTGTCAGTAACAGTGTACAATGTACAGCTAAAATGATTTAATTAAAATATATGTATTAATAATATTTTTATTTGATTAGTATATTCATGGCAATACTAAAACAATGTGGTTTTTGGCTCTTAAGTTTGGCTCTAAGCTGTAAATGAAACAAAGATTATTAGAATATGTTTAACAAGAAAATACAATTTCAGTTTCTCAAATTTCATTCAAATTTCAAGTTTAATTCAATGTGTTACTTGCCAATTCTTTGTAACTGCTTGTGAAGTTTACTAGCAATTGCTGAGTGAAAATTGTTTCTACAGGAAATATTTTGTCACTGTAGGCTATCATAGGACCTGGGACCCCATCCCACCTCTCTGGCAACTGACAACCTTCTCTTCCCAAACTTATCATCTTTTGAGGATTTGATAGTAGAGAGGAAGTGAAATTTGGTGACATGAAAATCATCAAATGTGCAATGAAATCATTATTTTGAATATGATAATATGCTTTCCAGTCAAATTATTTTTAGGCTAAGGAGTAATATCAAATAAAATTAGTATTTAATAATTATGTGCACGTATGCTATATGATGATACTGAAACAACTGCACAGCAAAATACTTAGCCACAAACTAATCTCAGTAGTCTTTCTTATAATAATAGATTTAGGGTGTAAGACTTGATGTTTCGAAATTTCTTTGATGCATGTGCAAGTACGTCTATCACATAAAAAATGTGATTGCTCTCATGTTTTATTGTTATACTGGTATGGGGTGTGTCTTGGAGTGTTCTAACAACTAACAACAGTACACAGTAACTTACGTAGAGAAAACTTTTGAGGTTATTCAAAATGAACAATCACTACAATCTTAATTTAGCCTATGCAGCTTATCCAACAAGACAACAGCGTATATCTCAACTGGCTTGTAACGCAAAGCCCTATTCAAGCTTAGTTGTTTAAAGTCAGATAATAATTGCCAGTTGAATTACTAATAATTACTAATCTGTAATTTTAATCACGTCCGAATCGACCATCTCGGTAGGCTAACTGTTTGTACAGCGTCTTGTGGCAACTTCTACTGTTTAAAATGGCTTGTAAAATAAACCCAGTAGTGCAAATTGATATGTCAGTAAACGCTAGGGAACCTGCTGGATTTTTTTCATATTGTCAAATATAGAATTACAGATTCGCTGTTGTATTTTGATATATGCTCATGTTCAGTGTTGGGGATAACGCATTACAAGTAACGTGAGTTACATAATCAGATTACTTTTTTCAAGTAACTAGTAAAGTAATGCATTACTTTTTAATTTACAAGAGAATATCTGAGTTACTTTTTCAAATAAGTAACGCAAGTTACTTTTTTTTCTAATTTATTGATTGACAGCTCTCCTGTCCTCATGTTGAGAGAAATCAGAAGATGCTACTGTAGTTCTAAAATAAATATGAATATGCATTAATTCATCTCACTCACACAAAAAAAAGTATTCCTCAAAATGAATTTTATTGAGTAACGCAATATTGTAATGCATTACTTTTAAAAGTAACTTTCCCCAACACTGCTCATGTTTAATACATCTTTAATACATCATAACTAATTATTACACAAATGCATTTTTGATTGGTAGGCTGTTCAGCGTGAAGGCGATGGCTAAAGGCAGACACACCCATCCCTGTAATGCCTTATCTTGTGCGAATTTTGAATTGTGTTCAAATTGACATTATATTACTGATGACCACAGTTACTTTGTTACAGAACATATG